ACGGAAGACCAAGAAAGAGGCTTAGATAGCAAATACAAATCTTTGTAATCATCATTGCTAAATCAATGAATATAGATCTCATAGTCATCAATGGATGCCTGCTTTTTCTTCTTTGCTCTTACATTACGGAACGATACTCTAAAGATGTAAGTTTACTGTCATAATTGATGTCTTTTAATGATCTTAAATCGAGCTATAAATTTTGTTGTATCTCATTCCCTTATCCAATGCACTTAGATCTAGAGTTAATTATCCTTGGCTAAGATTTATCCTCTATTTTCATCATTAATTAATTTAACAAAAGGCTTAACACTTTTTGGTCAAACAATTCCAAGTTGTAGATGTACTCCTTATGTAATAAGAATATATTTCTGCAATTATTTTACTCCTTTTGTAGTTTTATGAATATTTCTTATCCCTTCGGTGCAAGCTAAAATCATGACAAAAAGAGAACCATGTTCCTAATTTGTAGGACGGAGTTAGATTTAGTGAGGAGTAAACACTACTATATTATATTGGGGTAGTATTTGGAGTTGGTTCTGTGGGCCCCACAGAATCCTAATGTCAGTTTCCATAATGCTGCCAGATATAACTAACAAAAAGTTCTTTCTTAAACATAGTCATACTACAGTGGTGTGGCTTTCCTATACGTGTCACTCGACGAAGACCCTACGAAAAGGAATCCAACTAATCAATTGGTGTTATAAAATAACAACCGAAAAGTAAATAAACTAAAGACAAGTATAGAGAGAAATTGATATATTATTCAACTTCAAACTTATGTCCATAATAAATCGAAATCTCCTCTTTTTATATAAGAAAGCAAACTGCTGTGTAAGCTGCTACTGCAAGTTGCTGTGTAAGCTGCTACTGTACCAGATATTGATAATCTTCAACTGGGGTAATTTACATAATGCTGCCAGATATAACTAACAAAACATTCTTTCCTAAACATAGTCATACTACACTGGTGTGGCTTTCCTACACGTGTCACTTGACAAAGACCCTACGAAAAGGTATTCAACTAATCAATTGATGTTATAAAATAACTACTGTAAAGTAAATAAACTAAAGATAAGTATAGAGAGAAATTGATATATTATTCAACTTAAAACTTATGTCCATAATAAACTGAAATCTCCTCTATTTATAGAAAAAAGCAAGCTGCTGTGTAAGCTGCTACTACAAGCTGATGTGTAAGCTACTACTGTACCAGATATAGATAATCTTCAACTGGGGTAATGTTTATCCATAACGGAGTATCGAAAGGATAAGCTTATTGTACCCGGTATGGATAATCTTCTACCGGGGGTAATATTTATTCATAACGGAGTATCGAAAGGATAAGCTTATTGTACCCGGTATGGATAATCTTCTACCGGGGGTAATGTTTATCCATAACAAAGTATCGAAAGGATAAGCTTATTGTACCTGGTATGGATAATCTTCTACCGTGGATAATATTTATCCATAACAGAGTACTGAAGAGATAAGCTTCTTCAGGAGGCTTATTTCCAATAGAGTAGTAAATAGGTAAACATATTTACGACGGAGTCCCATATGGATAAGCTTCTTCAGGAAGCTTATTTACAACGGAGTACTAAATGAACATCCATAATATAATATATTTATAACACTAACCCTTGGATGTTAATTAAAAGATAATGTGCCTCATTAAAAACCTTACTAGGAAAAACCCCATGGAAAAAAATTCTAGTGAAGGAAAAAGAGTACACATATTTAGTAATACGCATTGCTGGGTGCCTAATTAAAAACCTTATAAGGAAAACCCTATAGAAAAAATCTTAGTAAGGAAAAAAGAGTGCATCGCGTATTTTGCTCCCCCTGATGAAAATCTTGTTTGAAATATTTGAGTCTCCGCATTCTAATCTTGTATCTGCATAACCAATACGATATGCACCACCTTTGTTAGCATTAGCAAGATACATAAGTGCATAGCAATTGCACTGAGATAGAGTATTTCAGGACCAATGAGTTCCTCATCCTCTTCTGGAGGTCGGAACGGATGTTTAGTCACTTCAAGTGATCGAACACCCATTGTTGTACTTAATGGGTGCGCTTTGTCCATGTAAAAGCGTTTAAAGACCCTTTCTGTATAGGTAAATTGATGGATAGAGATCTCGTCTGCTAAATATTCAGTTTTCAGACCAAGACCAATTTTTATTTTTCCAAGATCTTTCATCTCAAATTCTTTATTAAGATATTCAATTGCCTTTTGGAGCTCTTCTGGAGTTCTAACAAGATTTATGTCATCAACATAAACAACAAGTGTAACAAATTCTGATGACAATTTCTTTATAAAAATACATGGACAAATTATAACATCATTTATGTAACTTTCTTTCAGTAAATATTCACTGAGGCGATTATATCACATGCGCCCAGATTGATTTAAACCGTACATAGATCTTTATAATTTAATCGAGTTCATTTATCAAGACTTTGAATTATATGCTTCAAGTTTAAATCCTTCAGGGATCTTCATATAGATTTAATCAAATGAGTCATATAGGTTATGACTTGCATTTAAATGGCATGACATCATGTGTCTGGACGATTGGACTACAGGTCCGATCCTCACAATATTTTACAATATTGTGCACTATATTGTATTAAATATATCGTCAACGATCATTTTGTATCGGTTCCTTAGCGACATAACTTGTTGAGATCTCATCACTTTCTTTATTTTCAGGTACCTGAACTTCTTCTGGAGTTTCATGAAATGTTATGTCGCAGGCTCTTCTAGAGCTCATTTCCTCCTCATTATGATCATTTTGGTCATTTGCTCCTATCATTTTTGAAGGATTGTTACCTTTGAAACTGATCGATTTACTACGCTTCATGCGTGTAGTAAACTTTATCCTCTGGGACTTTAATTTTAATAGGAGCATTTCCAGCAGAAATATGATATTTAATTTTGGATCAACAAATGCTTCTGGCGTTTGACTTGAATTATCTTCCAAGTGAGGATCATATTAATGATAATTCGATTCATATTTAGAAAATCTTAGACCAACACATGAAGTTTTGTTCTCATAAGCAATAGTTTAGCCATTAATAGGAGGTATTCAATGCTAAACCAACTTGGATATAAACCAGCAGTATCAAGATGAACTGTCTTGATTTCATAATCTGAAAATCATTCTCTTATTTGAGAAAAGCAATTTCAAATGCCAAACTGTAGGTTGACAATAATCGCACATGTAACCATCTCATATATGCATCTATAAGTGGTTTACACGACAGGTGAATGGACCCATATTCGCCTTTTATGTATTTCAAAATTCAGGGGTCTTAGTCCCAACTTTAGCTGGTATAATCAATTTATTATGAGAACAAGTAACATAAGAGAATTCTTGAAGAATCTTCTAATTCTTCAATATATGCTTATCTGAATTCTTAAATAGCTCATTCAAAAATGGCAAATGAAAACCTCAAGTTTATCATGGCATGTGTTATCTCTTAGTAAACTTCTAGTTTACCGTGACTGCATTTGCATTAGTAAACTTCTGATTTACTGTGATACATGATATAATATAAATTAAAGAATAAGGCGGGTAACTTCTAACATATTATTTTACCCCCTATGATTGTGGAAACATGAAGATTTTCAACCTTCCAGTCATTTGTAGTCTCAATATGATAGTCATCAGTATTAATAAACTTCAGGTTTAATACAACATATGTTTTGACCATAAGCATATAATATGAATGACATATTTGTATATAAGTTCTTCGACAGCCTTCATTTATTATCCACAATCTAATATTTATCGGACACTACTGGTGTCATGTGTCTTCTAGGCAGACAGTTAGCTCTTCAGGAGTTGTTGATACATTTTGCACTATCAAATATTGCTCAGACACTTCTGGTATCATGAGAGAAAATCACAATCAAATAAACAATGTAAAATAATTGTTTAAGCACAAGAAAACTCCTCTTCATAATATTTTTCTACTCCAGGAGGGCAATTTCAATTGTGGTACTTCTTCAGGAGTAAATTTAAAATACGAAATATTGAGTATATATTCTCTCAATTATATTACCTCTTCTTGAGGTGAATTGTAATATATTTACATCAAGAGCGCGTTCATATTTATGATATTTATTAATATTGTCACATTGACTTCGGGAAATGGATTAATATTATCAAAAGTTCGTATCCTTCAGGAAATCGAACATAATTATCTGAAGGCGCATTAATCACATCAAATTGTGATGCTTCAACCTCTTTTAAAATATTTACTACTTTAGGAGCAAATCAAGGCGTGCATTTAATATAGAGAATATTTATATAGCTTATCTTCAATTGTAACCATAGAAAGTCTAAATTATCACTTCTGGTGATCATAGGCATATACCACTTCTGGTGGTTAACAAAATTTAGTTACAATGAGATATACGAAATATAACCACTTCTGGTGATTGTATATTTCTTGCAAATTACACTACAAAAAAAAATTTTGAATTAGCTACGAACGTCGTCGCTAAAACGCTCGTAGCTAGAAGAATTTCTTAATAATCCGTTGCTAAGCCGTTGCTAAATGAGATTAGCGACGGATTTTTTGTTTAGCTATAGAACTTGTCCGTCGCTAAAACCTGATTTTTTAGTAGTAGTTTAAGTTGATTTAATAATGTTATCCATATTCTTCAAAATGACATAAATAAAATATATTATAGTAAACATCATTATCAAATCATAACTTTTATTTATGTACAACAAATACATAACCATACTCTCTATTACAAACAACAACAATTAAAATATTTATATTTCTACAGAATCACCACCGATCACATGACTTGTTTCTCCTTCTGGGAGTGCAAAGTAATCAGCCGCATCAAAATGCATGAGGTCTAAATTATCTTCAGAAATAAAATTTGCTTCAACATTTTTCTCTGTCTTCTTTACGGAGGCTTGATAAAGCTCAACCAGGTGCTTTGGCGTACGACAAGTACATGACCAGTGCCCTTTTCATCCATATCTATTGCATGCATTTTCTGGATTTGGTGCTTGCACCGCTTCATGCTTTTGTTCCTTCCTTTTCCACTGCTGGTGGTGAGGAGGGTTCTTTGGTGCATTATTATTGCCATGATTAAAGTTTCTTCCACGACCACGGCCATGACCACGACTAGGGCGACGACCTCTTCCATGCTTAGCTTGGTGGAAGTTCGTCTCATTCACTTCAGGAATGGACAAGAACCAGTAGGTCGGCTTTCGTGGTTTTTCATTAATAGCCCATTGTGTTGCTCGGCTACAAGAAGATGTGAGATAAGTTCAGAATACTTTTTGAATCCCATCTCTCGGTATTGCTGCTGCAGGAGCATATTCAAGGCATAAAAAATGGTGAAAGTTTTCTCCAACATATCATGATCAGTAATATTATCACCACATAATTTCAATTGGAAAATAATTTTGAACATAGCAAAATTATACACACTGAAAGATTTAAAATCTTGTAGCTTTAGATGAGTCGAATCATAACGTGCCTGTGGAAGAACGACCATCTTCAGGTGGTCATACCTATCTTTCAAATTATTCCACAGTATGACTGGATATTTAACAGTAAGATATTTCATTTTCAGGCCCTCATCAAGGTGATGGCGTAGAATATCATTGCTTTGGCACGGTCTTGGTTTGATGCTTGATTTTTGTCCTTGATGGTGTCTGCCAGACCCATCGCATCAAGATGAATTTCAGCATCAAGCACCCAAGACATGTAGCTTTTGCCCGATATATCCAGGGATGCAAATTTAAGTTTAGAGAGATTTGACATTATTTAGAAAAAGAAAGTTCGTACCTCTGATACTTTCAAAGTATTTGCTCGAGATGGCAGAGTCTAGTGCTAATAACGTGTTATAAAATAACGACTGTAAAGTAAATAAACTAAAGACAAGTATAGAGAGAAACTGATATATTATTCAACTTCAAACTTATGTCCATAATAAATTGAAATCTCCTCTATTTATAGAAGAAGGCAAGCTGCTGTGTAAGCTGCTACTTTAAGCTGCTACTGTACCAGATATAGATAATCTTCAACTGGGGATAATGTTTATCCATAACGGTGTATCGAAAGGATAAGCTTATTGTACCGCTATGGATAATCTTCTATCGGGGGTAATGTTTATCCATAACGGAGTATCGAAAGGATAAGCTTATTGTACCAGGTATGGATAATCTTTTACCGGGGGTAATGTTTATCCATAACGGAGTATCCAAAGGATAAACTTATTGTACGCGGTATGGATAATCTTCTACCGTGGGTAATGTTTATCCATAACCGAGTACCGAGAAGATAAACTTCTTTAGGAGGCTTATTTCCAATAGAGTAGTAAATAGATAAATATATTTACGGCGGAGTCCCATATGAATAAGCTCAACGGAGTACTAAATGAACATCCATAATATAATATATTTATACCAATTGGGAGTAGAATGAAGAAAATCTTGGTATTTCTATCGACTCAGCAAAAGAGTCCAACTTCTACTATGCACTGTAAAACACCCTTAAGCATAGTGTGACCATAATTTTAACTTAATTAAAGCTCAGCTAAGTCATGAAAACTATCCAAATTTACCAAAATACCCCGAAAGCCCCCCTTTTCACGTCGGGGCTTATCATACATGAATAAAATCTCCTTAAATTAAAAAAAAGGGGCATATAAATTGGTTGGCTCCTATATACTACTTCAACGCTCTTTGTTTGATTATATATAGGTAGTGTAGTGTAAAGTAAAGCAAAGTAATTCTTAAAGAAACCGAGACACATCTTTGAATTTAAAATGTTCAGAGAAGGGTAAATATGAGTGGGAGAAAAACATCAAGAGGTCTTTTTCTTTATACTAGTACTATTTATATATTCCCAAAATCGAATTATCATACACAATAAAACAAGATCAAAGCACAAGCCACAACCGTGAATTAACGCCACATGCATCTTACACTGCAAACATTATATATATAATACCGATTGCCAATCTTACTATTTTAAAGAAAGAAAAAAGAAAGAAACGGCTAACAAAAGTAATACAGCAAACTGCATCAATTTTCCTTCTCTAGAAGAAAGAAAGAAAAAAAAAAGAAATAGAGGAAAAAAAAGCTAGGAACTAGATAGCATATTACACACTACTATTACATATGGAAAAGAAAATCCTTGGGACTAAAATAATCATCATTGAACTCCTTTTCCTCAAAACTAAAATTAGTATCTGCTTCATTAGTCCTACTCCAATTGAAACCAGTGGACAATTGTTCATCCAACAAACTCGGCGCCGGCGTCTCCCACACCAAATACTTCCCATTCCCATCTTTAAATATCGATGCTTCCTCAAGTACAGAACACTCCCCGCTACTTCCATTCTCATTCCCGCCATCAATTATTTTTTCCCCTGAATTGAAATTTTCATTAGAGGAATTTTCGGTTTCGGAGAGGTTGAGCTTCGCGCCGGAGCCGTAGAGGCGGCGTGCGGCGTCGTCGTAGGCTCGGGCGGCTTCGACGGAGGTGTTGAAAGTGCCTAACCAAATTCTGGCCCCGCGATTTGGTTCTCTGATTTCGGCAACCCATTTGCCCCATGTCCTTTGTCTTACTCCTCTGTATGTACACAACGCATTTTCTGGCCCTCCTTTCCCTCTCATACACCCTTTTCTCGAACGCCCCACTGTCGATTTCTTGCTAATTGGAGAATTGTTTCTGTCTACAGATTCCGCCATATGGGTTTGAGCTTATATCTTCGTGCTTCCTTTTTTTTTATTTCCTGATTATGTTTTTAGGGTTTGCATTGTTTTTTCAGAAAGGTAAGGTTTTGCCCTATATGGAGGGAAATGGTACGAGTTTTCCAAAAAAGGCAAACTGCTGGAGTAGTTCGTAAGATTCATTTTCCTAAAATAGGCCAATTTATAGTTGGAGAAAGTTACAAGTGTAAAAGAAATGATTATGCAGGTGGATATCATGACACGCGGCATGCAAATGATATTCCAATTGTCGTCCTTCATCCTTGTAATTTTCGGCCTTATTCAGTACTTAATACTGAGGTAAATTGTGAAATTGAAGCACGAATTAAACATTGAATGAGTTTATTGAAATATTCCATGTATACACTTCTTGTCAATTGTGTCATATTGACAGGTATCTCATTACATGGCACCCTTTTGGTCAACTTAGTCATTTAGAAGTATGGTAGGAAAAATATTTTATGCATTAGCTTAGTCGTACGGTAGAGTGCATTATTTATTAGCTAAATATATGTATTAGCTTTGTATATTGATAATATCCTGTTTGTTATATTGTTTTTCATTTTATATGTAACTAATATAAACATTAGTTAAATAGCCTATTTGATATTATCCTTATAGCTAATACATAGCAAATTATGGTATTAGCAATATTAAGGTTATTAATACTCCTTCCGATCTACTTTAATTAATTTTTTTTCCTATTATTTATGGTCCATAATATTTGATTTTTTTTAGATAACAAGAAGTATTTAACTTCTTTTTTCAAAGTTGCCCTTGGAGTAAAGAGCCTAGGAGTATTTATTATATTTTCAATGAACGAATTAAGGTTAATATGATCAATTTTATTGTTAATTAATGCTAAAAGATAAATTACTTAATATGTATGAAAACGGTGAAAAAATCAATTAAAATGGAGCAGAGGCAGTACATGCATAAGCTTAGTTAAAGATAAAAAATTTCCCTTAAAATTTTGTGCTTGACTAAAATTCTTTTTACCTATTTTTCATTAATGTAAATAAGATACAAATTGATAAATCTGACTTTTTTTTAATTTTTTCACCCCATTTTCTAATATAAATTCTTTCAATAATCATTCCTTCTATTAAAATATTCATATTTAACAAAAAGAAAATGTTAAAAATTCACAATTCCTTTTTTAGATTAAAATAATATGCTCTACAGTTGTGGGATTCTTCCTCTTTCTCTCCTATGAGACCAACTGCTCCATAGTACACCATCGTGGATCAACAATTGCAACAAATTGTATAGACCAAATCAATGTAATTATTCCTTAAGAATTTGGAGGATATTTCTATAAACAAATACTTTTCTAAAAAAGATATGATGCAATACATGTTATTTCTAATACATCAAATCAAACGGTCGATAAGAAATAACTTCAGTATAACTAACACATGCATAACTAGCAACATAACTAATATTACTATTATTAATATACTCTATTCAAAACTATTCTTATACACTCTACCAAACGACCCCTTAAAACATTCAAGCTTATACTCTTGTCCTTATTTCTATTCAACGTACTATATTTTTTTAGAAATAATATAACTTTATGCTTTTTGTTGTATATTTAAGGAGATAATTTGTCACACAAGTATTTATGGTTTATCTTAGACTATAACTTCTAAAAAAAGCTATTTTTTTTAGACTTTGTGTTCAATCATACAACGCTAATTGAGGCAAAATGAGTAACTAATACGCTAGCTAGTACGTATTACTTACAAGCATAGTCGTAGCAAGTCTTGCATAACATAGCACAACTTGTGGAATTCAATGTTTTAATATAATTCGCGATTTCACATATAAACGTTTACAAGATTCGTGACGAGTCATGTACAATAGGAAGGCTCAACTTAATTTTCAATTACTTCCTTGGAGTACTTTATATCTCCTTATATCTTTCAAGGTGATTCGAGTAGTACGGATAACAGAAGACATACAATTAAAACATAAAAAGATAGGATAATCTGAATCATAGAAGGAGAGAACATAAATTCAATTATTTGAAATACTATTGAATATATCTGCACTCAATTAAGAATTTCAAAAGAAGACACAAAAGTTTCAATATCATCTGTTATCCAGAATCGGAGTTAGAATTTAAAATTTATGGGTTCTGAATTCGTTGTTGAGCTCATGGCTCATCTTAGTTGCTGAGTTCGTAATTAAATGCGTATGCATCATACGAATTTTCTAGTACAAATATAGAGTTTAAGCCAAAAAACTACAGGGTTTGTCCGAGCTCATAATTAACTAAATGTTCTCCCTCCCCTTTTGTCATCAATGCCTACCGCGAAGTGATAAAGGAAGTATTGAGATTCAATATTTATCCTGTAATTTCTTCCTTTTTCAGATTAGTCTGCTTGTGCTGAGTCAGCAGTTACTGGTTAGTATTTGACAGTTGTAGTCACATTAGGTTAGACATTTTTACATTCCTGTTACTAGTTGTATATAAGGGGACCTACACACAATTAGTCAGATTGAGATTTCTTCTTCTCCACTCACGTGTTCTCTGTTTTCTTCTTCTCTGCTCTTGCTTCTTTCCACACTTCCGACCTCCATTGTAGCTCAGTTCGAGCTAAGTTTGATATGGTATCAAAGCCACACAGGCTTTCTCTCTCATTCCAGATTCACATAATTACTTTGCACTAATTCTCAACTGCTCAATTCGCACATACAATTGTGATTTAGGTCTAATTCTCTGAAAATTAGGGTTCAGCAGTTTATTTTGGGCCATAGAGACTTAATAACCTAGCTCTCAAAGTCATGGCTGTTACCCACGAGATTGAACAATCTGATGTTGAAACCAATGCTGAATCAATTAAAGGATATGGTGTTGATTCGAGTAGCCCTTTCTACATGCATCCGTCAGATAATCCTGGTGCGATGCTGGTTCAAGTTCCATTTGATGGCACTAGTTACCGTTCATGGAGAAGAGGTGTATTGCGAGCGCTTTCGGTAAAGAACAAATTAGGTTTCATAAATGGCGAATGTAAAAAGCCAGATCTGAAATCCTCAACGTATTGCCTGTGTGAGAGGTGTGACGATATGGTCACATCATGGATTCTGAATTCTCTAGCTAAGGAGATAGCCGATGGAGTTGAATACGTCAATGATGCAGTCAAATTGTTGAAAGAGTTAGAAGATCGTTATGATCAGACGAATGGTGCAAAATTGTACCAAATCCAAAAGGAAATTAATGATTTGTCTCAAGGAAACATGGACATCACTGCTTATTACACAAAAATGAAGAAGTTGTGGGAAGAATTGAGCACTCTGATTGTGAAGAGTCAATGCAGCTGTCATTGCACCTGCGGAGCCAAAGAAAACATGCATAAGGCAGAGCAGGATAGGAGATTAATCCAATTTCTTATGGGCTTGAATGAGGTTTACACTGTAGTCAGAGGAAGCATCCTCATGATGAATCCATTGCCTTCAATGGCACAAGCTTTTTGCTTGTTAGTTCAGGAAGAAAAGCAAAGGGAAATTAGGCCAAATAATCAGCTTGTCATGAATTGTGCCTCGCTGAAATGTGAACACCATAGGATCAAACAATTTCAAAACCAATTATTCACCAAACAACAACTATTCTGGAAATAATAGGTCTCGACCTATATGTGATTACTGCAAAAAGCCAGGACATACCAAAGATAAATGCTACAAATTGCATGGCTATCCTCAAAGTTTTCAAAATACTCAGAATCCAAGTCAAAACTACAAGGTCAACAGAGTAAATGAATGGAAAAGGAAGAAAATACAGGATAAATACAGGACAACGGTTAGAGCATTGTTAGCTGCTGGAGTAAAAAGAGGATGGAAGATCTATCAGTTGGATGTGAACAATATATTTCTCCATGGAGATTTGCATGAAGAAGTCTATATGGAGGTGTCGCCTGGTCTGATAGTAGAGAAACAAGGACTTTTCTATAAACTAAACAAGTCATTGTATGGCTTGAAGCAGGCTAGTAGGCAATGGTATGCTAAGTTGACTGAAGCCTTGTGCTCCAGGGGTTACAGCCATTCCCTTCATGATTATTCACTGTTCCATAAGAAAGAAGGAGATTCAATGGTCTTCGTGGCACTATATGTGGATGATGTGCTCTTATCAAGAACCAATCCCCATGAGATTGAGCAGTTAAATAGTTTTCTACATGAATGTTTCAGAATTAAATATTTGGGTTGTTTGCATTACGTCTTGGGATTAGAAGTATTATACGAGTCTGATGGCATCATCATTTCACAGAGGAAATTTGTCCTTGATCTGTTAAAAGAATATGATTGCTTGGGGTATACCAGCTTGTCATCTACTCTTCATCCTATTGTCAAGCTCAAAGCCAAAGAGGGAGCATTGCTGGAGGATCCTACCTACTATAGAAAATTGGTTGGGAAGTTGAACTTCCTAACCAACACCAGACCTGACATAGCTTATAGTGTTCAACACTTAAGCCAATTTATGCAAGAACCCAGGGAACCTCACTTAAAAGTTGCATTCCACTTATTAAGATATCTGAAGGGTGATCCCACCTTAGGCATCTTCCTATCAAAGGATGAGGACTGTGTAGTAAGGGCATTCTGTGATTCTGATTGGGCTGCATGCCCAGACTCAAGAAGGTCAGTGAGTGGCTATTTGGTATTATTGGGAAATATCCCTATCACTTGGAAGTCGAAGAAGCAGGAGACCATATCTTTATCCTCGGCAGAAGCTGAGTACAGATCACTCAGAGAGGTAGTAGGAGAGTTAGTTTGGTTATGATAATGTGCCATATCTCAGGCATGTTTCAGTGCATTGTGATAGCCAATCTGCCCTCCACATTTGCTAGAAATTCTGTGTTTCATGAGAGGACCAAGCACATTGAAGTTGATTGCCATTTTGTGCGTGACAAACTGCAAGGACTCATATCTCTACATCATGTCACTACAAATGAGCAGCTAGCAGAAATCCTCACTAAAAT